ATAAAATAATTTATAAATTGGCTAATAATTATACAAAATGAATCTTATGCATAGAAAATAGTTAAAAAATGATTACTTAATTTAAAAATACAAATGCTTAATTTCTGGTCAAAAATAGTATAAAATCATATGATTGGGCTATAATTGCAAAGTTATTGCAATTATAGCCAAAAGATGCCAATTTGGCTAATTATGAAATAATTTGGTTTAAATAGGACCATAAATAATAAATTAAATCAAGAGATTCTTTTGAAATCATTTGTAATGCCATTTTGTTATTATTTATTGGGAATAAAAATGCTAGATAAATTAATAAAAATATCTAAAATTATAGAAAAATACCAATTGCTATTAATGCATGATTTTGAAGGTATATATGTAATTTTAAAAATAATTTTGGGAAAAATTGGGTATCAACACTAGGTAAAAATATAAAAAACATATAAATATCAATTTGTTCAAAATTAATTCAAGCCAAGTTTAAGTCAATAAAGCGACCGTGCTAGAACCACGGGACTCGGGGAATGCCTTAAACCTTCTCCTCGGTCAATAGAATTCCTTGTCCGGACTTTGTTTTCGCAAACCTATAATAAAAGAGTCAAACCTTCTTTTGACTAGGGATTCAAATAAAAGGTGACTAGGAACACCAAAAATCAATTCCAAGTGGTGACTCTGAATAACAAAAATAATCCCTATTTCAAAATTGTTACTTTAATTGAAAAAACTCTTTAACTCACAATCCATAACAAATATATCTTGGGGGGTAGATAGGGGGTGACAGCTCTGGCGACTCTGCTAGGGGAAATCAGAATTCGAGCTTGTATATGTTGACTTTTATATGGCTTTATTAATTTTGTATAGTGTGATTTATTTGGGCATATGTGCATATATGCTACTTGTTTGCTTTTTACCGCTTCGATATTGTTGAACTGTACATATAAACTGTCTTCTCACGCACCCCCTCTGAGTCTTATTGAAATTAAAAATTGGGCATTTGCTTGACATAGCCCGCTTTCTTTGAGATAGCCGAGGTTCTTGTCACCTGGTGAAGGATTTTAGTCACACATGTTTTAGGCGGGGAGCACCACCAGCTAAGCCAGAAGGCAATGCTACCGGTACGCTGACCCTCCTCGACTCGAGTTGTCTGCTCGAGCAAGCCAGTCTAGATACATTCTCCACTAGAATTTAAATCTAGAAAAACAAACCTCATGCCTGATATCCCTAGTAGGTTTGCTTTATTTGCATCACGTGTATTTGACTTAGCGAAGCTTGGCACGAGGGCCGGGTCCGTATAGGACAGGTATCCTCTTTGAGACCATCATGCTCACTTATGTGCTATTTGCTACATCATTTGGAAGGCTTGCTTGCATTGTTGACTGGCTTTAGAAAATTAGTTGAGCGGAATTAAAAAAAACATTCTCCTAGTTTAGTATAAATAATCCTTTTTTACTAAAATTTTGAAGTAGTCTGGAGTGAGGTGTAAAGATTAATTTTCATAAAAATCAGAAAAGAAATAGTCGGTTTCATCGAACTATGCGGGCTTGATTCTCACTACCCAGTGAGATACGTAGGCAACCTCCATCGAATTTAGCCCATATTTTTTTTTTAAAAAAAAGCATAAAAATTACGCATGTGCATAAAATTTTCGAAAAAAAACAATAATAAGAAATTGCTATTTTTGGTCAAATTTTACTATTTTGCCCTCGTATTCCGGCTGTTTTGCCGGGACGGCCTTCCTTGGAAGCGTTGAGGAGCTATTTTCGCAAAATATTCATTTTGTTTATTTATTTTCACATTTTTACCGTGTTGCCCTTGTTTCCGGCCATCTTAGCCGAGTCAACCTTAAAACATCTTTTTTGGAAGTACCATAATGGTTGTTTTCGTAAAAGAATGAATTTTTGTCTGATTTTACCTGTTTATCCATGTGCGGATGTTTTTACCGAGACAGCCATAGTACTTTCCTTCGAAGTACTGAAGAACCATTTTCATAAGAATAACCATCTTGTCCCTTTTGTCACCTTTTATCATTTTGTCCTCGGTCGGCCGGTTTTATCATGTCTTGTTTCCTCGGTGAGATACGTGGTTAGTCATCCTAGAGTCTGGTCCTTTTCGTCCAATTTTGGCATATCAATCA